TGGCATTTTTACAGCTGCGACTTCACAACACTGGAAGAGCCTGTAAAAGGGTAATACCCTGCACTGTCTTTCCTAGATCCAATTCGTTAGCCACAGTTGTCAACATCTTCAACACCGGTAATGCAATCATGCATTAATTTGACTACCTTTATCAACATATATTCAAAACAGCAACTTACTTCACTCCGAGTTCGGAAAACGTTTAGGAGAATTGGATCCACAGCAACATGGACCAACGTTTTGCCTATAACAGTGGCGAGAAGAATAAGGAAATCGAAACTTACTCAGCGGAGTTCAAACTTTTATACGCGTTTAATTCTGCTGGCCCATAGCGAACAAATACATTCGCTCCAAAAGGATCATAGAGAGCAACTTTTGCCTAAGAATGCTTTAGGCCCAGACATTTGGATTCGCATCCAATAATTAAACAATATTTTTTGCAAATTCCGATGTGCATCAGAAAATTAAGATCAAAATAGTAAAGGGGTGCGTAAGAGTAGCCCGAATTAGTGCTTTTCAAATGGAGTAACCCACAATTAAAGAAAGTTTAACTCAACTCAAATTCAATTCAACCACAATGCGGGCCACTAAAATGGCTGACTTCATTGAGCGATCACCTGTATTCGGAGACGAAAGTACTTAACGTGTGGGGAGAGCCTACAATTCTGGGCCTAACTCTACTTCTCGGCTTAACAGATGGTTCAAATGCAGATAAAAAGCAAAATTGAAATCGCTTTTCCGCAAAAAAAAACAGGCAAATGAGCACACACCACACACCTCTTACCATACAGCAAAATTTCACCGCGGAATTAATGCATTCCACCGTGGATGCAGACAAACTATAATGAAAATGAACGTAGTTTATTTTGTGCTTGCACAATATTCACAACATTCAAAGCTTTCAAATGGACAATTTGCACTAATGAAGGGTAGTTAAGAAATGTAACATCCCTAACGCTAGCAATCGAGCCATGACCTCAAATTCACCAATACTTACAGAACGGCTAAAATACATACACGTACCACATTCTACCGTGACATCTCATACAGATAACAAGTAATAAAATCCCTTTTATGCAACCTTAAGCATTTACCACTACGAAATCTACCACAAATCAAGGGACTACCACCCCTCATGCGGAGATGAATATGTAGGGCGAGACCTGCAGGTCTCCTCCCCCCTCTTCCTAGTAAGCTTAGAACAACTCGGTTGATTTAATTTCAACATATTTATTAG